TCCTGGCTGAGATTAAACAAGCCTATGGACCTTTCTTTTCTTTAAGCAGACATTTTAAGGAATTTTTCTGTTTTTATTCATTTTATTCATTACACCCTGTAGAAACCTTAACAATAAAGTGTTACAGAAATATCTTAAGTAAAAATGTTAAAAAATCAATATATTGCACAAATAAAGCAAATGGTCAAATATGTACTTGGGCCACATTCACACAATTTATTTATTGCATACCATTTATCTTCCAAGGTGCTCAGAGTGGTTGTACAAGGTTCTCCACGTCTGCGTTTCATCCACACAACAACCCTGTGAGGTAGGCTAGGCTAAGAGATGGTGACTGGCCCAAGGTCACCCAGTGACCATGGCTTCATGGCTGAGTGGGGATTTGAATGCTGAGCCGCCAGGTCATAGTCCAACACTCTAACCATTATTTCAAAGAATTATGGGAGCTGTAGTTTCTTAAGGGTGCTGGGAGTTGTTAGGAAATTCCTATCCCTCTCCTCCTATTCCATTCCCAGAATTCTTTAACAGTCAGTCCCTCTCCCCAGTGAACTCGGGGAATTGTAACTCTGTGCTGGGAACAGTGGTCTTCTAACAGCTCTCAGCACCCTCAAGAAACTACAGCTCTTTGGAGGAAGTCATGATTGTTTTCATATCATAATGCATTAAACATGTGGCATGTGCGGGTGGTGCTGTGGTCTAAACCACTGAACCTCTTGGGCATGCTGATTGGAAGGTTGGCGGTTCGAATACCCACAATGGAGTGAGCTCCAGTTGCTCTGTCCCAGCTTCTGCCAACCTAGCAGTTTGAAAGCACGCCAGTGCAAGCACATAAATAGGAAGGTAAACGGCATTTCCGTGTGCTCTGGTGTCTGTTACGGTGTTCTGTTGTGCCCGAAGCGGTTTAGTCCTTCTGGCCACATGACCCAGAAAGCTGTCTGTGGACAAATGCCAGCTCCCTCAGCCTGAAAAGCGAGATGAGCGCCACAACCCCATAGTAGCCTTGGACTGGACTTAACTGCCCAGGGGTCCTTTATCTTTACCGTTACCTTTATGACATGAATGTTGCCTTGGTTTGCATAAGTTACGCTGATTTTGTTAGCTTGTATGTGTGTAAGGGTGTTTGTGAGATGATGATGGCGATGGTGATTTCTTTTCTATACCACTTTTTATTTTAAAGAAACAAAATCTCAAAGCGGTTTACAACACATTAAAACATTTTTTAAAAATCCAAAATAAAACAAATTCAAGCGTCAAGGAAGATATTTCTGATCCTTCTGTAAGTGACATTTTCCTTTCCCCATACTTGGTGAGTGAGAATGAGTAAGGAACTATATGGAACTCTGGAGCTCCAGCCGTTTTCTGCCTTCCGACATCCCACCAGGCAATGCCCAAACATGTTTCAAGTTTATCTTTGCGCCTGGGAAGTCTCAAATGGAGACTTGGTGCTTTTGTTTTGATTGTCTTCGGGGGAAGGAGGAAGAACAGAAGGAATTCTAGGGAGCCAAACTCTGTGGATGATAAATTCCACACTGTCAAAGTGCAATGATGGAAGGGAAGCATTCCAACCCCTCTGTAATTACGATAATAATAATAATAATTAATAATAATAATAATAATAATAATAATAATAATAGGTTTGTCCCATCAGACTCCTGCCCACATTTCCATTCGCGCAATCAGATTGCTTAAAGAGTGATGGAAAGAATGTTTGTCACTCTTTGAGTTGTGCACAAAGGTGGAATAAGGATTCTCCCATGTGTCGGTGGTAAGAATACAGAGCCAGGGGGTGGTGTTAATTCTGGGTTAATCCATCTAGAGTGCATATATGTTTTTGTATTTCTAGTTGTTGAATGGGATGGGAAGAGGCATAGGGTAACAGAGAAGTGCAGAGTTTTTGAGGACCGGGACATTTGCAGGGAAACCAAAATGCTTGTTTACAAAGCTATTGAACTACCAACCCTACTGTATGCTAGTGAAACATGGACCACTTATAAACTCCATTTCCAACTCCTAAAAAGATTCCATCAACGATGTCGCTGAAAAATTGTACATATCGCTTGGGAAGACAGGCGAACTAATACCAGTGTACTGGAAGAAGCAAAGATCACCAGTGTCAAAGCAATGATTCTTCAACATCAGCTGCATTGTACTGGTCATGTTGTGCGGATGCCTGATTATCATCTTCCAAAGCAACTACTCCATTCCGAACTTAAAAATGGAAAGTGTAATGCTGGTGGTCAACAAAAGAGGTTTAAAGAGTGTCTCAAAGCAAATCTTTAAAAATTTAGTATAAACACCAACAATTGGGAAATCTGCAAGCGCTCCAATTGGAGAACAGCCTTTACTAAAGGCGTCATGGACTTTGAAGACACTCAAACTCAAGATGCAAAGGAGAAACGTGCTAAGAGGAAGGCACACTTGGCAAATCCACACCGTGATCAACTCCAGCCTGGAAACCAATGTCCCCACTGTGGAAGGACGTGTGGATCCAGAACTGGCCTCCACAGTCACTTACGGACTCATTGTTAAAACCATGTTTATGGAAGACAATCTTACTTGACTGCAAGTGATCGCAGAAGAGGAGGAGGAGGAGGAGGAGAAGGATAATGGAACAGAAGGCAAGGTGAACCCAGGACTCTTCCTGTCCTTAAAATAGGTCAGCCTTTTTTCTTCTTGTTGGAAGACAGCAGGGATGGGGGACATGCAGCCCTCCAGATATTGTTGGACTCAACTCCCATAACCTCTTACCATTGGCCTTGCTGGCTGGAGCTTATGGGAGTTAGGGTTAGGATTCCAACAACACCTGAAAGGTCACATACTCCCCATCCTTGGAGCCAGGAATTGACAGTCTGTCTATCTTGTGGAGAAAAGCATTGAGCTCTCTCGATGTTTTGTGCATGGAGGGGGAGGAAGAATTTAGCTTGTCTCACCCTTTTGCTCAGTTGCCATAACGTCTAAAAAGGAAAAGAGAGACAATGCACATGAAGTTAGCGCGAGTGTAGGATCGTTCAGGTGCTGTGCCAAATATGCATTTTGGGAGCAGGCCAGCAAGCTGTCTTCCCTACCAGCACGCACACTCTCTCTGCACCTTGTGCATTCTGAGTCACCTCTGAACAGCCCTAAAAACTCTGTATGGGGATTTAATTGCAAATGACTGATCTAAGGTGGCAGATATAGTTGTCCGAAAGGAGAGGATTGGGGCATTTTAACTGCTGCAGCTTTTTGTGTCATAGTCCTCTTTCTGTAGGCGGTCTCCCAGTTCCCGTAACACCATATATCGGCCATTGATTAGCAGTCGATTCAGGGACAGGCGAAATAAATGACTGCAGAATCAACCTCTGGAACTTTCTGCCACTAGTTGTGCCACTACCAGGTTGATACTTGCTTTGACAGCTTCATACTATTCACCTACGGTGTCTAAACAGAATCTCCGTGCTCAGGGGCAGTCTCCCTTCTAAGGCCAGTGGCTGGGCAGCGGTCAGCGGTGGGGTGATGCTACCTTGGCATGCCCTGCTTCTGGGATCCAAGGAGGCTCCTGGGGCACCTACTAAAGGTGCCCTCTTCTGCCCGACTCTCAGAAGGCATCGAGACCCTGGTCTCTGCCTGATCCTCTTTGGCATTTTTGCTTGGCCTTCGCCATCTCCTGCCCCTTTTGCAGCTGCCTCTAGCCGCCGGCCTCAAGGTGTGGGTTCCCCCTGCTGCCTCTTTCCCCGAGGCCAGCCTGGCACAGGCAGGAGAAAGGCACACAGAATATCAATCAGGCGCCAGCGCAGAGGTCAGAGCGGTGGGGTGGGGGAGGGGGGTTCGCTTCAAGGCCGAGAGCCGTGCGGCAGCGTTTCATGCTCCCTGCCTTCCTTTTGTAGAATATCAGCAGCCCTCGTGAGCTGCATCCTTGATGCGCCCGACGCCTCATGCCGGAATCTCATTGCAGCAGGCGCAAGGATGGAGCCTGAGATGGGGAGGGCGGTGTGTGTGTGTGTGTGTGTGTGTCAGGAAATGGAGGTAGTGGTGGGCAATTTTGGAAGCCGGACTGTTTTAGAAGAGAGGTGGGGGTTGGGTGGGAAGCGAACTCTGCAGGTCCACTTTGAATTATGGCATCAAAGCACCAGGGCAGGTGGCTGCTTGCCAGATTTGATACTCATGCAGGGCTGCTCCTGCTTCTTAAGAGTTGCGGAGAGGAAAGAGTTGGGGCAGGGATGGTGGCAGAAGGCCGCCTTCGCCCAAATTCTCTTCATGTCTTCACCTCTGCAGCTGTTTGTTTGCGGTTGGAGTAGGAAGCTCTCTTTTCCCTTATTGATCTGGCAACCTGACCTCCTTTTGAGGTTTGTCTCCTCACACCGTAGCAGTGCCTTTTCACAGCGGCTTGATGTACAGGAGATGCAAGCGGGAGGAAAAGCTTCATTTGCCGCTGGGGGTGTCACCCGGTTAAATGAAAAGGCAGATCCACACAGCATGCTTTTGAAGCCCACCCAATGCATATTTGAAGCACATGGCTTCCCCCCCAAGGAATCCTGGGAAATGCAGTTTGTTGTTGTGCTGTGAATTGCAGCTCTGTGAGTAGGAACCTACCGTTTCCGGGATCCTTTGGAGGGAGCCATGCTCTTTCAATGTGTGGTGTAGGTCCATCCAAAATGTAAAAGGCTTTTGTGGGGGTATGGAGCACAGAGGAGGATGCCCACAGCCTCTCTGCTTGACTTCCCCCAAGGAATTGTGGGAGCTGTAGTTTATTAAGCATGGCAAGAATTGGAGCTACAGTTCCGGGGGGGGGGGTATCATGTGCTTTTAAATGTGCACTGGGTGTGCTTCAAATGGATCTGCCCAATGTTAACCCTACTCTGAGCAGTCTCAGTGTAATCAGTAGATTTTAATTAGTCCTGTCCATTGGTTTCAGTGGGCTTGTCTTAGATGAAGCGTTTACCCCAGTGGGAGAGTGAAGGCCAGAACAGCAGTGTAGAGTTTTGGGCTAGGACTTGCATGACCAGGGTTCAAATTGCAATCACGCTGGATAGCTCAGTTGGCTAGAGCATGCTTCTGATAATGCCAAGGTTGCAGGTTTGATCCCTGTATGGGACAGCTGCATATTCCTGGTTTGTAGGGGATTGGACTAGAATGATCCTCAAGGTCCTTTCCAACTCTAAAGTTCTATGATTCTACGATTCCTCACTTAGCTGTGAAACTCACTGGGTGACTTTGGGCCAGCCACTGCCTCTCAGACTAACCTGCCTCACAGGGTTGTTGTGCAGACAAAATGAGGAGGGGGAGAAGCATGTACAAACCACCCCGAGCTCCTTGGTGGGATATAAATGCAATAAAAATTCTTCTGAGACGCTGCTTGTCACCTGCAAATTTTATTAGCACTTACATTTAATATAGTTAACATTTTTTATATATTTTTTTAAAAAGCCACATTAATTATGGATCTGCTTTTAAGGTTTTTGACTGATTCATCTATTCACTTAACTGAGCAAAGGTTGCTGCTCAACCGGCCACTTTTCTGAGTTTCTGAGGGCCGTTAAAGGCACAGGAGCAGGCTTATTTACAGGAAGGTGGCAACCCCACCAGCTTCCTCATTCGCTGAGTCTCAGTTCATTCTCTTTCCCCCCAACCCCTTTTCTTAACTCATTTCCAACATTCTTTTTAAGTTCCTCTGACCCAGATTCTCCTTTTGTGATCTCATCTCCCTCTTTCTTCTCTCTCAAGTTTGCTGTTTTTCTTTCACTTTGCTTACTAATTCGCTCCCTCATTAGCGAGATTGTCTCTACACCCCACACCCCGCCGCCCAGAAAAAGAACCCCTTGATGGTAGATGTTTAATTTTGTTCGCCGTCCTTCTCCAGGGCACCAGAAGCTGTTCCGTCTAGAGACTTGATGCTGTGGCCATGCAACCCTTGTGAGGAGGCTTGGCAGATGAGCTTGGCTTCATGCTCAGGGTCTTGAAGTCTATTCATAAAACAATTTTGACGTTTGAATGGCAGGATGCCAGTGTGTGTGTCTGTGTGTCTGTGAGAGAGAAAAATTGTGTTTGCGCTCTGGTTGCGATGAGGCTGTGTCTCTCCATCTCCTGGCTCAACCTCTCATTGAGCTGACGGCCTGTGATCGCAACATGTCACCCAACCATTTGGCGCGCTCGCAAAACCAGTGGCTGTGCCAAAAGCGGTAACTTTGCTGCGCGAAACGGGTTGTCTAATTGGCCCAAACTGATTTCCATATGTGGCGTTTCTGAGTAATTATACTTCAGCTAAGATTGTCTAGGCACCAGTCTAGTGGAGGCCCTTTCTCTTCCCATCCGCCACCGTAATAATCCTGGCTGCAGCAAAAACTGAGGTCCAGCTCCGAGGGTCTTCTGGCGGTTCCCTCACTGTGAGAAGTGAGGTTACAGGGAAGAAGGCAGAGGGCCTTCTCAGTGGTGGTGCCCCCCTGTGGAATGCCCTCCCATCAGATGTAAAGGAAATAAACAACTATCTGACTTTTAGAAGACATCTGAAGGCAGCCCTGTTTAGGGAAGTTTTTAATGTTTGATGTTTTATTGTATTTATTGTGTTATTATAATTATTATAAAATTTGCATTTGATTCTTTAAATGGCATTCCCCCAAATGTCTGACAAAGGAGGTATGTAATGCATGTGTGTGGGATTGTTGCACGCCACCTCAGTTTCTGAGCGGTACGAGATTCCAGGGGTGCAACACGCTTACCCAGGGTTCAGTTTCCTTGCAATTAGGGACAGAGCACATGGTGGTTTGGGGGTGGGGGTGGGGTTAGAGCTTGAACCAATGGATTCAAGTTACAAGAAAGGAGGTTCCCACTAAACACCAGGAGGAACTTTCTGACAGTAAAGTTGGAACGGACTCTCTTGCAAGGTTGTGGACTCTCCTTCCTTGGAGGTTTCTTGTTTGGAGGTTCTAGCAGGGGAGCGCAGCTATCGTATACCCTTGACTGAAAAACGGTACACTCCTTCTATCTGGGATGGTCGTCCTCTTCCACTGAGCGCGCAGCTTCGGGAGGGACGCACATGGAGCGGTGAGGGAGGAAGGGGACACCTGCCTAGCCAGCCAGATCAGCCGAATCAACCCTGGCGATCAATGGGGTGACAGATGTCGCAGCCAGATCGCCCTCACATCCAGAGGTTCCTTGGAGGTTTCTAAGCAGAGGTTGGATGCTTTAGCTGAGATTCTTGCATTGCAGGGGGTTGGACTAGATCAGTGTTCCCCAACCTTGGGCCTCCAGCTGTTTTTGGACTACAACTCCCATCATCCCTCGCTAGCAAGACCAGTGGTCAAGGATGATGGGAATTGTAGTCCAAAAACAGCTGGAGGCCCAAGGTTGGGGAACACTGGACTAGATGATCCCTGTGGGTCTCTTCCAACTCTACAAGTCTATGGTTCTATGGCTGTATGCCTTATTTATACATATATACAACCTGAGCCTACAGTGTGGGGCATCATAGCATTAACACCTCAAGAGGTCTTTCTTTAATAATAATAATAATAATAATAATAATAATAATAATAATTTATACCCCGCCCATCTGGCTGGGTTTCCCCAGCCACTCTGGGTGGCTCCCAACAGAATATTAAAAACATGATAAAACATCAAACATTAAAACCTTCCCTAAACATGGGGTCCTGTTTAGAAAGCAAGTCACAGAAAAGACATAGTCACAGCCTTGGCTTCAAGCAGAAACCATGCATGGCTGTCACTCTCTGGCTTTTGCCTTTCTCACTAGCAGCCGGGTGAAGGAGGGGGCCGACCCCCCTCCCACCCATTTGCCATCTGGCAAAATCAACCTTGTTTTGTTACACTGATGACCATTCATTGGATCATACATAACTATGCTCTTTGCCTAGCTAATTCAGCAGTGGAATCCTCCATTAGATATTAACTCTTGCTGGATCCAGGGATTAGAAGGGGCATCATATAGCCTAACCGTCCCCTCCCCAAGCTCACAACAATATATTACATATAAAAATTGGACACAGGCATCACTTTTGCACCCCAAGGCTTACTTTTAAGCATGCGAAGGAGTGTGAATTGCTCTAGGGCAGTGCTTCTTGGAACTTTCCAGGCCACACTTTCAGAATAAAAATTTGCTTGCACCACACCAATTTCTTTATTGATAAGAAATGCATTAAAACAACGAATAGAAACCACTCCTAGCAGTTCCTGATTCATAACAGAGAACGCAGCTACTTTATAATATCATCAGGGGACATCCAGAAAATATAAAACAATGCATGAGAACACGAATCAGCCCCAAAATATAATACTGATTGTGCTTGAGTCTTCCTGCCACACTTGCTATCCTCTCCTGCCACTCCAGTGTGGTGATGCACACCCATTGAAAAGCCCTGCTCTAGGACCATCGCTCAGTGGCAGAGCAGCTGACCTGCATTAAGTGCCAAAAGTCCCAGGTTCAGTCCCTAGTATCTCCAGATGTCAGGGACTGGGCAGAGGAGGAATGGTGGAGACCACCTCCCCAGCCTGACCCTTCTAGAGGAGAAGAAGGCAGTTCAGAATTAAAACAGGGGTTTGAGGGAGATCACAGCTCAGAAGAAGATGAGGGGGAAAGTTGGGAAATAATGGGAGAGGAGGAGGCAAAGTCAGAGCTGCTGGCTGACATGTTATCACTAGAAAGTATTCCAGACCCACCATCTCACAGAACCCGGCGAGCCTTAAAAGTAGGAGAGCAAAGAGATCAAAGACAGGTGGCCCTAAGTGGCAACCATAGAGAGGGTGGTGCTGTTGACAAATGAGGAAGTGGGAGAGAAGGGGAGGTTGAGATATACTTGGTACAAGGCCATTATTCCAAGAGGCTGCATTCTCAAACCTCTCTCTGTAAATATTGAATAAAAAGCAGATGGTAAGGACTCTTCCTAGTCTTATTTGTTCCTGGAAACCTGCCATGGGGGGCGGGTGCGGTTCCTCTACTGCCGTGACACCAGGTTGGGATGAAAATGTCTTCTACCTGGAACCCCCCCCCCGAGCTGGAAAGCTTAATGCTTGTGGTCAACAAAAGAGGTTAAAAAACTGTCTCAAGGCAAATCTAAAAAAATGTAGTATAAACACTGACAACTGAGAAACACTGGCCTGCAAGCACTCCAGTTGGAGAACAGCCTTTACCAAAGGTGTCATGGGCTTTGAAGACACTCGAACTCAGGACGCAAGGGAGAAATGTGCTAAGAGGAAGGCACGCTTGGCAAATCCACACCATGATCAACTCCTCCCCAGAAACCAATGTCCCCGCTGTGGAAGCACGTGTGGATCTAGAATTGGCCTCCACAGTCACTTATGGACTCATTGTTAAAACCGTGTTTATGGAAGACAATCTTACTCGGCTACGAGTGATCGCCAAAGAAGAAACCTGCAGAATCCCTTTGCATTTCAGCCAGATCCACACCATACATTGAAAGCCGCATCCAATGCACATGACTTTCCCCAAAGAATCCTGGGGAATGGTGGTTTCCCACTCACCGAGCTACAATTCAAAGTGCACTTAACAAGCTGCAGTTCCAAGGATCCTTTGAGGGAAGCTGTGTGCTTTCTGTGTATGGTGTTCGCAGCCCTAATGCTCAGAAAGGTCCTATTGTGTGGCCTTATGTTAAAGTTATTGTCCCCTTGTAGACTTCCTCCTTTTTCCCCCTTGCATTTCGGTGTGTTGGCTTTTGTAGGTTTCTGCAGCTTCTTTCCCTAACTTACCAGCACACACGTGTTGTGGTTGGTGGTGGTGAAAAGAGGATGCAGTTCTGCATATTGAGGAGCGTTGCTCCCCCCAAGTGGCTTTCCATTGCATGTAAGAGCCAACTTGGTGTGTTGACCTGGAATCAGTCCCTATCTCGCTGTTCCAATCCTCATCCCACAGAGCCAAGATCACTTCGCTGTGTGGCCTGTAGCAATTAGTCCAGAAGCTCTGCTGCCTGCGTCCTGTTTCCACCCTTTCAATCACCAAAATAACTTGAGTTCCCTGCCTTGCTGACATAAATGTGTTGGGGAGTGGGGAAGGCCTATACTATGATGTTCCGCAAAACATCTGAGGTGTTCAGGGAGAACAAAGGCCATTGAGAAGGTGGCTCTGTTTGTTCGTTTGGGCAGCAAAGCTCCTCTGCCTTTATCAGCTGCAGAACAGGCAGAACCACTCATCTTGGATATAAGCGGAAAGCTCTCCCTGTTGAATTTCCTCCGCATAGGCTGAGGGTGCCTGGCAGAAGGGGGCGGGGTGTTCTAAAGGACGGCTACCTTGCTCAGCCCGGGCTTGAAAAGCCACCCTTCTCAAGGCTATTAAATCCCTGAACGATGTTATAAATTATTGGAAGGGGACAGTTGGCGCGTTCCTGAGCTGGAGGGTGGGGTTTTTTTGCCACTCGCTCTTTATAGCAAGGCAGGCGGAGGGGGGGGGAGAGAGTAGGCCCTTCTCTGAGCCTCTCTCTTCTCCCCAGGCCCTCCTCCCTCTTCCCTCTCCATCTTCGCAGGCCCCATTGGAAGTCAAACACCGCATGGCATGGTGCCAGGGCTATGCAAATGGTGGTGGCTGGTCGCCATGGCAACGTGTGATTAGCTGCAGATGAATAGAGCAGGGAGGGTGGCAAGGGTCACGCAGGAGCTTGGAGACGGGTGCTCTCTACCCCCCCCCCAAACCTCCCTCCCCCCCAGGACCAGCAACTTAGATGCAAGGAGATCTTTTGTGGGTGGGGGCTCATTTCTATCAGCTCGAAAGGACAGTACTAAGTCTCTCACACCAGGCCCTCTGGCATGACCGCTTTCTTTTTTGCCTTCTCCACGGGCATCTTTCCCTGCTGAATCTCTAGCAGAGTATTCTCAGCAGCTTTGCCAAACTACAGCTCCCAGGATTCTTTGCAAGGGGAGGATGCTATGCCTAAAGCATAAAGCCAGTATAAACCCTGATGTAGATATGCGTCTCTGATCAGGGTTGGGCTAACTTTGTACTCTGACCTCTGCCTGCAGCCAGAGTGGAATAACGTTCACTGGGAAGCTCCTTTGAAGATCATCATCATCATCTAACAACAACAACAACAACAACAACAACAACAAATCACTTCATACAAAATAAAAAGTATCAGAGAGACTTAATAAAATACAACAAGTAAAAGCAATTTTAAAAGCAGAAAGATTTTAAACAGCAAACAATGCAAAATGCATAAAATGCTCTCCCAGTAAAATATTAAGAAGGACAAGTCCCTAAAAGGTGAGGACCACTGCAGAAGGCAACTTATTTACCTAAGGACTGAGTATGCAAAAATATCTTAGATGGACAAAGATGGTGCCAGGTGCGTCTCCCTACAGAGAGCATTCCACAGATGGGGGGAGGCACCACGGGAAAAGCACATTCTTGTGTGGCCACCCTCTGTGCCTCCCTCAGGTGGGGCTTATGGAGAAGGACCTTCGATGAGGACTGCAGAGCCCAGGCTGGTTTTTATGGAGACAGGCGGTCCTTGAATTGTCATATTGGGCTTTACACGTCATGGCAAGCAGAAGGGCAGGTGGGCCCCGTCTATTGGCCAGAGAAGGAGCGGCTGCAGGGAACATGCTTCCCCCCCTCCACCACCACCCTTCCCTGCCATAAAGGACACTTGGGCTCAATGCCTTTGGACTGCAGAAGTGACCAGAAGCCCCATCTCAGGCCCCTGCTATCAGTTGCATGGAGTAAGGGCCTCTAGGTCAGTTACAGCACCTTTATCCATGCAACACACCATAGAATTGAACATAGAATTGTAGATTTGGAAGGGACTGTCAGGGTCATCTATTCTGACTCCCTGCAATGCAGATATACTTTGCCCAATGTGGGCTTGAACCCATGACCGGCAAAGCAATCTCTTTTCTCTGTCTTTTCCCTCTGCTTCTCTTCTAAGGGGGTGCCTTCTTTTCTTAAGTTGGTAAGCCAGAGGGTAGGACCTCGCTCTCCTCTTCCAACCGTCCATTGATGTGAGCCGCTTTGGCATACAGTGTTTGTCTGGATAGAATTATATAATAACAATTAATCAACTGGCTATTGTAGCTGTGCCTTTACAGCAGTGAGCTATCCCAGCATTAGGAGATAATGCATATTGTCATTGTGCTGTGAAAAGCTTCACCCAAGGATTTCTGCACATTGAGCAGCTGTTGAAGCT